CGGAGCGGGAACTTTGATGTTCAGGCAAGCTAGTGACTGTGATAGTGCCTTCAGAGAAGCCGAGTTCCCGGCGGAAGACATGGTTTTGTTTAACTACAGTTTTGGTATAGATGCAAATGCTGGCGGCATTGCGTTCAGTGTTCTCCCCGTTATTTGCTGTCTGTTCTATTCTCATCTGCTACTTGCAGAAGTCGTACGCTTTAAAGTTACGAGACCACATGCTTATTATAACGGTTTCCACGGTAGGCTTTCTTACACGTTGTATCATTTGTGCTTCGGCAGCATGAGGTTGTTAAAGCTACAAAATGTTGTCGATGGCAATTTTAAGAAGGGAAGCCACATCTAGGTAGTTCTTCAAAGCCTTTGACACCAAATGACAACAAACCCTGCCCCGAAGCATTTAAAGGACTCATCTGAAAATTATATATGAAACAAAAATTCTTGGCAACAAAATGTCATGATAACTGGTAAGATACATGTTCTATGTAAATGGAAAATGTCTTAATTACAGGGTCTTTAACTGGCTGTATTGTGATTGCATTTAGTCTTAACCACTATGTAGCAATTAAGTAGGTAGAGGATGACTGCAGTATGGTATTAGTTTAACACACAGGTGGGTGGTTGTTAAATATATCTTTTGTATGCTTGACCCCAAGGACTACAAAACGGGGGCGGGGGTAGACTCCAAAATATTTTCCCTGCCCTCAAGAACTTGTCATTTTCCAGCTGGGAACTGAAGACTGCTTGCCTGGCATGAACTAAACCCTTGAGTCTATCCCCAGCACCCCACCAACCAATCCTGGCACGGGGGAGTTAGAGGCAGGAGTAGCTGAAGTCCAAGGTTATCCTTGGCTACATTGTAAGTTTGGTGCCAGCCTGAGATATATGGACTCTGTTAACCAATAACAAAAGCAAACAACAAGAATCCCTCAGTATTGTATCTTGAGGAGTCTCCTATTTTAGTATTATTTAATGCTGATTAGGGTTGCTGGGGAGCACTCTGTTGTCAAAGATGCTGATCCAGTATTTATGGGGCAGGACCTAGAGCACTACCCATATAACAAACTCCTTGGGTGGTTGCTATGGTATATCTGTGGTAGATATCCCACATCTACTTATTGAGTTCCTTTTGTATCAGTCATCTATTGCCGTAATAATGCTGTATAACAACTATAACAGTCAGTGGCATACAAAAGTGAAATGTTATTTAGTTCAATTAGTAGGCAAGACATATTTTAAATGATGAGATAGGCCCTAAGGTATACCCTGCTACTGTTACTTTACTAAATGTTGATGCTGTCAATTTGCCTTTTAAGCATTTATATGTATACCAAGAGGCCTGGGGTACTCTCAACATTGGTCGAGATGCTGCGTTTTTCAGTTGACAGCAGTCAACACACAGACCCATAACTGGTCAAAGTGCTGAGAACAAGAGTGCTTAGTCCTAAACACGTCGTCTCCATCACTCCCCACCCCCACCCCAAGTGTTCAGGAACATGTCAGAAGAGGAGCCCAAGGATAAGGATGAGGAGTGCTGTGAAATGCCCTCTTCTGGCCACAACATGGCTATTGCCCATGCATAGCAGCTGTGGTTACCTGCGCAGGATCAGACTGGCCCAAATTCTAGCATAGATGTGGGTGGTGCTCTCCAAATCCCACCCCTTAGCAGAGGAGCTATAGGCAGTTGGTAGCTACTGGGAAAGGGTGGGGCATTCTTCTTTGAGAGTATGGCTCTGTTCAATAGCCCTACACCTATGCACATATGGCCGCTCCCACTGGGCATGGTGGATTATTAATAAAGATGTGAAGTTGGGAGAGGGGCCTATTGGGAGGGCTATAGGCTATGGGGGGGGGGCAAACCGGAGGTAGGTATGGTCCATTGTATACATGTATGATTTTCTCACAGAGTAAAAATATATTATTGTGCCATCACCCAAAGTTGACCTTAAAACCTGTCATATTCCCAGGAACAAAACGACACAAGATTGTCACATCCTATGATGTACTTGAAGCAGCTAGATGCTCTTCTAAGTACCTGCTTACATCTTGACATTTAACCAGCATCATAATCATGTTATAGAGTCTTACATTTCCATTTAAAGTAGAAACACATTGTTTCTAGCCCAAGGCACACTGCTCAGAAAAGAGAGAGCTAAAAAATTTCAGGCATTCAGCAATTCTCTTCTAACTGCAAAGTCCTGACATCTCTTGTATGATTGCAACTTTTTGTTTTGAGTCAGGGCTACAGTACACAGCCCTTGTTGACATCAAACTCCAGATTCTCTAGCTTCTGTCTCCCAGGTGCTGGGATATCAAATATGTCATCATGCTTAGACTCACGATTGTATGCGTATTGTAAATATATGCAAATATACGGCTCAGAGTGTAGAGGCACTTGCTGCCACAATTGACAGCCTGAGTGGAAGGCAAGAACCAGGCCCCACTGGTTGCCCTCTGACCTCTACATGAGCTTTCATGACAGGTTCATTCTCTTCTTCAGTAATTTTCGAGACAGGGGTTTTCTGCGTAACAGTTCTGACTGTCTGGAACTCACTTTGTAGACCAGACTGGCCTTGAACTCACAGAGATCCACCCACCTCTACCTCTGGAGTGCTGGGATTAAAAGCATTCGCCACCAGTGCCTGGCCTGATCCACTAAAATTTTAAAAATTGCATGCTAGCCATGGTTTTAATAAGTTTGGCCAAGATAAAAAAGCAAAATCTCAGTTGCATTTATCCCACAGCCCTCATCTATTTCTCTAAGCTCCCTCCTGTAGCCCTTTCCATGTTTGTTTTTTTCTCTCTCTGCTCTTTCTGCCAGCAGCAAGGGCTCCGAGGTAGACACTGGGAAAACAGCCAAATCCAAGGATGTCTTCGGATCTCAAACCTGTGTGAGTTTTTATGTAACCCACTTTCTACAGCGATTATTTTGCACTTCACAAAATGTCAAATTTAGCGTTGGCATGGAAGTAGCCACAGGCAGGGTGGATCAATATTTGTAAACCCACACAGCATCATTGGAGACTGTATACTAAGTAGGGCAAAGCAGCCTTTAGTTGGCTCTTATTTCCCAGATCTCCCTCAGACTAGATAGTGAATGTGCCTGGTTGAACCCTATAAAGGTTTGTTTTTAGTGTGATCATTCCTAGGTTAGTGGTATTCCACTTTGGAAATTCAGGCACTTAAGTGCCACCTACTGTTCACATTGCTGTATAGCACTGGCATTAAACAGCTGTTCGTAGGCAGTGCTATGACTGCCTCTTGATACAAGTGCTCCCTCCCAGAGTGCGGGAGACTACATAGACAGGAAAAACATGAGCTGAATGAGTGTCATTAAAGCAATGCACACATTTTGGAAGGCTATGGATGATTTATTTCGATCATCATTCAGTCTCTAAATCTTACCGATTATATCCTCAGAAATCTTCCTATCTCCTTATTTTCTGTCCCTCTGCTTCCTGCCACAGAGATGGTGGTGTCTCTTGAGTTAGGTTTTCATCCTCTGTTTCCTAGAGTATTTTCATAACCTTGATGTGCTTTGTGACTTCAAGTCTTTCTCTTTCTGTCAACCTTGTTTATACTCAAGTGCTGCTGACTAAACCTACACATTCCCGAGCCCCACCTCC